TTGCCTAGTATGTGTATGTATATATTCCTTGTAGATAAGCTGGTATTTGAAAGACAAACCTGTTTACTGTATTTTGCTCCTAGGTTGTCTCAAAATAGTCACACTGTGTGCACTCTGACACGAAGATAGAATAGAATAGAATAGAATAGAATAGAATAGAATAGAATAGAATAGAATAACAGAGTTGGAAGGGACCTTGGAGGTCTTCTAGTCCAACCCCCTGCCCAGGCAGGAAACCCTCCACCACTTCAGACAAATGGTGATCCAACCTCTTCTTAAAAACTTCCAGTGTTGGAGCATTTACAACTTCTGGAGGCAAGGAGTTCCACTGGTTAATTGTTCTCACTGTCGGGAAATTCCTCCTTAGTTCTAAGTTGCTTCTCTCCTTGATTAGTTTCCACCCGTTGCTTCTTGTCCTGCCCTCAGGTGCTTTGGAGAATAGCTTGACTCCCTCTTCTTCGGGGCAGCCCCTGTTATATAGAGATAGGAAGAGATGGGGAGATGGGGAGAAACGGATCGTGAAAGGTGGAAATTTATTTTCCCTAGTGCAAATGGGTGAAGAGAGATTGACTGACTCCAGATCACCCCAGGAAACTTTGTGCTTTAAGAAGTATTAGAATTCGCTATTTCCCAATTTCTAGCCTAGCGCCCTAACCACTACACCAAACTGCCTCCCTACCCTTGGAGCGACTTCTAAACAACCCCCCCCTCTTTGTTCTCATCCGCAGGATTGTCAGAGATCTATCAGATCTCCAGGCGCTTGGGAGACGCCATGAGCGCTCGGAAATTATCAAGCGAGCTGCTATCGCAAACGTTGCGCGAAGTGGATTTGGCTTGGAATAACCTGTTGTCGTTCCTCGCGTTTGGTCGTTCTGCGTTCCAGGCGTTGGTAAGGGATTCCAGTCTGTGTGTGCGAAAGCTCAGTGAACTTAAAAAGGGGAAATGGGGATGCGGGGGTCCCCACGGGGGTCATGGGGAAACAAAATTTCTGCCGTCATTTATTGATCCGAATATTTATATGTCGCTCTGTTACCGGAAACTTAAGGTGGTTTGCAGCTGGCCACTTTTAACATACAGAAAAGGTGGCTCGGTGGCTAAGACGCTGAGCTTGTCGATCAGAAGGTCGGCAGTTCAGCAGTTCGAATCCCAAGTGCCGCGTAACGGGGGGACCTCCCGTGACTTGTCCCAGCTTCTGCCAACCTAGCAGTTCGAAAGCAGGTCAAAAATGCAAGGAGAAAAATAGGGACCACCTTTGGTGGGAAGGGAACAGCGTTCCGTGCGCCTTTGGCGTTGAGTCACGCCGGCCACATGACCACGGAGACGCCTTCGGACAGCGCTGGCTCTTCGGCTTTGAAACGGAGATGAACACAACGCCCCCTAGAGTCGGGAACGACTAGCGCATATGTGTGAGGGGAACCTTTACCTTTACCTAAGAGATGGTATGGTTAGGAAAGGCCCTTGTATGACAAAACCTCCATCCTACTGATGCTAGATCTGCTGGGACTTTTCTGCAACTGCACGGCGGTTGTGTGTTTATCAAAGAGAGAAAACCTAGAATAATCTCTTGATTTGGTTCTTTTATCCCAACTGCTGATAATTTACAGCTTCTGCCACCGGCGCCTGTGACCGAATCTCGCACGACACTTGCAAAATGTGAGCCTAACCAAATCTGTGGAGTTTGCCTCACAGCGGTAAATCGAGAAGCTCAGGTAATTTTCTTTCTGCCGCCATCGTTATGTGAATCACCCCAGTTGTTAAGTGAGTCACGTGGTGGTTAAGCAAATTCAGCTTTCTCATGGACTTTGCTTGTCAGGAGGTCGCAAAAGGGGATCACGTGACTCCCCAGGAACACTGTGACCGTCGTAGATATGAGGCATAAATATAAGTCGAGGACTCCCTGTATTTTCCTGCCTGCTTGATCTCAAATTGTAGCAAGGAAAGGAGAAATGGGAGAGAGGCAGCGGAAATACAAATGGACAACTCGGATTCCGAGGCTGGCACGTTGTTGCTTGACTTAGTCAAGCCGGGGTGGAGCAGAAAAAGGACTTAGCTCCTCTTTATACAGGCGTCTACAAACATTTTGCTCGTCTCCTTCTCCTAAACGGCTTCATTTTTGTTTCCATTTGGTCTCTCAGGTGCCTTCTGGAAATTTGGACCCCATTCTACACCAGGGATTCTTTTATCATGTCGGTTGTGCCAATTTTTGGTTGAATTGTGTAGACTCCACACTGCCAAGAGAGAGCTGATCTCTTCTGACCCGGCTCCCCAAACACGACAAACCCTCTGAAGTGAACTCAAAGATTCCTTTAATTAGGAGCGCCGGCAGCCCCGGCAAAACGTTTCTCTCTCACCGCAGGCTAACAAGTCCGGCCGGCAGGGAGTGATCTGTCCCCGTCTACACACACACACACAAACACAGCCAGCCGAGGGTTAAGAAAGTACTTGGCACGCACACAGGTCGTTATCTCAAACTTGGCAACAATATAAGCACCGTCTGCCAAGAGCTTTTACTGCAACAGATAACATAAAATTACATACGCATTGCAAATAGTCCAGCAAAACAATATTCCTTTCGGCAGCTTCAGACGTTGTTCAAGTGACTAGCCAAAGTTCGTTTTTGTTCGTCACGGAGTTTTACCAGCCACCACCCTCTCTTATATAGTCTCTGGGGTGTGGTCCAGTGACTCAGTTCTAATCCCTAGCACGCCTCCTTAACTGCTGCAACCGTTTATCATGCCTTCGTTGGCGTGCATCCAGGAATGACGGCTCTCCTTCCTCACTCTCATCTGAGACACCTGGCTCCTGGCTAATCTCCTCTCCCTCGGCCGGCACCTGAGACAGTGCCAGAGGTGAGGGGCCTGGAGAGGGAGGCCTGGCTGACTCCTCTCCCTCATGTTCGGAGCCTTCTTCCTCCGATGAGATAGGCTCGGAGGGCGGGGCCACAACAGGGAGATAAATAGTTGTCTGCCACACCTATTCATCTCCGCCCCCTGCCTTTCATCCCCAGAGCTAGGATGGGGCTTCACTAGCAGTGATGGCTCTTCCGTCCCAAGGACCAGCCCATAGAATTTCCACTGCTCTCCTCTCCTCTCCCTTCTGTGCATCTGTGTGTCAGGCACTGGACTCAGCTGTTCCTCCTCCTCCTCATCAGCCACCTCCAGACCTGGGGGCTGTTGACTCTCCATCTGACGGCTGACGGATGGCCCAGGCTCCACCTCTCTCTCTCTCTCTCTCTGCCAGCTCCATTCCCTCTTCCCCCTTGGAGCTCTCAGGTTGCCCTGATGCTGGTCCTGACTCCCACCCCTCCTCCTCCTCCTCTGATTCGGCTGCTGGAGGGGCCGAGAGGCCACAAGATGATCCTTTTCTCCGAGTTTCTGTCCATGCTATTGTCTCTTGGAATGGTGGTAGGAGTTGAGAGAAACATTTCTTGGGAGTGTGGCAATATTGGTGAAATCTAAAACCCTTTGCCTTGAGATGCCCCGTTTCAAACTTTAAAAGGTCTTCCCATCCCCCACAACATGATTGGAGAAATACGGCATCCACTTGCCAAGGACCTAACTTTTCATCGCCTGATCGTGGGGGATGCTACGAAGGTCGTAAGGCGGAGAAAACGTCACACGTCGCTTTTTTCCCAACGCCGTTGTAAACTCTGAACGGTCACTAAATGGACCGTTGTAAAGTCGAGGGTTGCCTGGTGATGCGATCAACAACTTCATTTTGTCCAGGTAGTGGGAGACACACCTGTAAAAGTGTAAGGGGGGGGGTGTGTGCTCCCGAAAACCCATTTGGCAGTTCCTGGATCTCCCTCTCGCCTGTTAGGTTATGAAAAAAAATGTTGATTTTCCTGGGACTTGGATGGGGTGGCTGAACAGAGGAGAGAAAACAGTTACAACGACCTTTCCGCTGAATGTAGTATCTCCAGCGGTCTCTGACTTACGACGGTCCGTTTCAACAATCCCAGGGCAATTCCTCAACCCGAGACACCCCCCCCACACACACGCTCCTCATAATGACTGCAATGAAGAGAGCTGGGATTACAGAGGTATTTTATTCAATGACAGCAACAACTTAACGATGCTACAATAGTGGGCTCAGTTCAGTGGTAGGTTATTTGATGACATCTGGGCGGGTGGGCGGAGCCTCCCACCCTGCTGCTACCAGTTCGTGCGAACTGTAGCAACCCACCACTGGCTCAGTTATGGTCGTAAATCAAGCACTTGCCTGTATTTCGTTTATTACAACGGTCTCTAAGACTTGAAGAGACTCGTAACAACTCTTAGGTAGCTCTCGTTTTGCTCTAAAACTACACAAAAGTTGAACAGGGTGTAAAATTTGCAGGGGGGCGGTCTTTCCAATGTGATTCTTATCCTTTCTAAGCTTTCCCGGTGAATACCACCTCCGCCAGGCCCAGCTGCCCAGCTGACTGGTGGTATCCTGATAAATACCACCTTCCCCAGGGTCAGTAAACAGATTAACCGAGTTGGAAGGGATCTTGCAGGTCATCGAGTCCAACCCCCTGCCCAAGCAGGAGAACCTACATCTGCCTCTACCTAGGATCGAACTCACAAACCTCCTGATTGTGAGGCAAGAGCAAAAATACCACGGAAAATAGGAAGAAGGAGGAGCAGGAGAGAACTGTTTGTCAAAGCGAACCATGAAACACAAAGCAGCCCAATGCGTTGAATTCGAAATGTTTAATAACACAAAAATGCTACATGCCCAAGTAAATCAATTCTTGGAGAATATTTCATCCTAAAGTGGCCGGAAGGCTGAACGGGTAGAGCCAGATATAATCCCTTCTAAGCAGGGAAGAAGACATTCAGAAGTTAGAAATCCTGCCTGCCGTCTTCCTGGAAATGTGGCTGGGAAAAAAAAGGCAGCGAAAATTCATCAAAGGGGTTGTTTTTGTTTCTTAGGATCTCGCCCGAAAGCTCGGTGGCTACTACCGGTTGCCTCGTTTGAACCCATCCCGGCAAAGAAGTCACATTTCTCCAAACAGCTTTGCTGCAAGATTTATTCCAGAGCCTAAAGTAAAGAAGGAGTCAATTGTCTAATGGTCGTATATTATATTGTCATATATTATTATTATTATTATTATTTTCCCCCTTCCAATATGCTGCAGGTTTTTATTTATGGAACAGAATAAAACGTGCAGGTTAAAAATCCCTGTTTCAAACTTGAGCCAAGGTGGCGCGTGGGGGTTTATGCGGTGCTTTGGCTCAGGGGAAGGGGGCTGCACCCACGCTGCGCCTCTCACAGAGCGATCATGACTCTAACCTCGTTTTCGTAGAGGTCAGGGATCAGGCCCAAAGGGGACCGAATCATTTTGACGCTGTTCTTCCCAAAGAGGTGATACTCGTATTCGACCAGCTGTTCCCAGAAACCAAGGTTTGGACGGATGACGGGCCGGCAGGATTTGACCCAGTCGTGGGCGTTGAATAGAGACATGGAATGGTATTTCATCAGGTAGGCGATGCACAGAGCCGCCGAGCGGCTGATGCCAGCTGCGCAATGCACCAGGGTCCTGCCCTGATTCTGAGCCACGGCGTGGATCTTATCGGCGACGGGGTCGAAGAAATCATAAATGCGCGCGGTGGGGTAGTCCAAAACGGGGACGTGGATGTAGTAAATGTCTGGGAAGTAGGTGTTGATCACTTCCACCGTGGCGTTAATGATGGTGGTGATGCGATTAGCGTAGAGGAAAAGTTTGTTGTTGGCCGCCTCGCCATTGCTGATGAAGAGGCTGTTGGTGATGCGGGATAAACCGTAGACCGACGGGTTCCTGAAAAGGATGGGTATGGCGCCAAAAACTGCGTTCATCAAGGCGAGCGTTAGATGTCCGTTTCAGGGGAAGGCGGCGTCATTTTTCTGGGGCTGAAGGGAGCTGAGGAAGGAGGGGGAAAAAAAGAGAGGAAAGAATAGAATAGAATAACAGAGTTGGAAGGGACCTTGGAGGTCTTCTAGTCCAACCCCCTGCTTAGGCAGGAAACCCTACACCACTTCAGACAAATGGTTATCCAACATTTTCTTAAAAACTTCCAGTGTTGGAGCATTCACAACTTCTGGAGGCAAGTTGTTCCACCGGCTAATTGTTCTCACTGTCAGGAAATTTCTCCTTAATTCTAAGTTGCTTCTCTCCTTGATTAGTTTCCACCCATTGCTTCTTGTCCTGCCTTCAGGGGCTTTGGAGAATAGCTTGACTGCCTCTTCTTTGGGGCAGCCCCTGAGATACTGGAAGACTGCTATCATGTCATCCCTACTCCTTCTTTTCCCTAAACTAGACATACCCAGTTCCTGCAACGTTCTTTATGTGTTTTAACCTCCAGTCCCCTAATCCTCTTTGTGGCTCTTCTCTGCACTCTTTCTAGAGTCTCCACATCTTTCTTACATCGTGGTGACCAAAACTGGATGCCGTATTCCAAGTGTGGCCTTATTACCAAGGCCTTATAAAGTGGTATTAACACTTCACGTGATCTTGATTCTATCCCTCTGTTGATGCAGCCCAGAACTGTGTTGGCTTTTTTTTTGTTGCACACGGCTGGCTCCTATTTAAATGGTTGTCCACTAGGACTCCAAGATCCCTCTCACGTTTACTACTATTGAGCAAGGGACCACATATTAGACCCGTTAGACAGATGGCGGTCTCTGCACTCCAAATGGGTGCTGTTTTTAGAGCGATGCATTCAGAGGCTGCGTGACAGGATGGTGGCAGCTATCAATCTCCCCGCCCCTCCCTTCTCCTCTCCCCCCCACCCCGGGTGCTTGGCCGCTTTGGAAAGCCCTACCTTTGCAAAGGTGCCTTTTCCAGAGAAACTTCACATGTCTTTTGTCTCCCCAGTCGCGTGAAAACCTGTGGAGGGTACACCTAGGAAGAAGGAAGCATGGACTCACTGAGGGTCGCCCTGGAACCAGGGGTGAAATTCAGCAGGTTCTGACGAACTGGTAGCGGAAATTTTGAGTAGTTCGGAGAACCGGCAAATGCCACCTCTGGCTGGCCCCAGAGTGGGATGGGAATGGAGATTTTTGCAGTATCCTTCCCTCAGGAGTGGGGAGGGAATGGAGATTTTGCTCTTTCCCTGGAGGCTCCATCCCATCCTCTCCCACCCCATGCCACTTGGTCCAGCAAGGGAAGGATGCTGTTGGGAGCTTGGGGCGGGTTCAGATAGCCTGCTCTTGCCCCTGGAGGCTCCATCCCGTCCTCTCCCGCCCCATGCCACTTGGTCCAGCAGGGGAAGGATGCTGTTGGGAGCGTGGGGAAGGTTCAGATAGCCTGCTCTTGCCCCTGGAGGCTCCATCCCGTCCTCTCCCGCCCCATGCCACTTGGTCCAGCAAGGGAAGGATGCTGTTGGGAGCTTGGGGCGGGTTCAGATAGCCTGCTCTTGCCCCTGGAGGCTCCATCCCGTCCTCTCCCGCCCCATGCCACTTGGTCCAGCAAGGGAAGGATGCTGTTGGGAGCGTGGGCCGGTACAGATAGCCTGCTCTTGCCCCTGGAGGCTCCATCCCGTCCTCTCTCCCGCCCCATGCCACTTGGTCCAACAAGTAAAGGATGCTGTTGGAGCGTGGGGCCGGTACAGATAGCCTACTCTTGCCCCTGGAGGCTCCATCCCGTCCTCTCCCGCCCCATGCCTTACCCCCCACCCGCCCCGCGGGAACGCGGTGCCTGTCTCTCTCTCTCTCTCTCGGCCGTCGGGTCGCCGCAGCCTCCGGAGCAGAAGGCGCCGCGGGCAGAAGACAGCCGCGAGCCCGGCCGGCGGTTTCCGCGGCAACCGGGCAGAGGCAGCCCATTGTGACCGCTTGAGTCCGCTTGGCCCGGCCGACTCAACCGCCGGGAGCTTCGGGCGATGGAGAAGGCGCCGGAGGGAGCCCCGCTGCCCGTCGTGACTTTCTTCCAGCCCCGCGAACACCAAGTGCTGGTGCTGTACAGGTGAGGAGGGGTCTGGGGGGGGGGAGAAATGGGGGGGAGCTCCTCCTCCTCCTCCTCCTCCTCCTGCCAGAGACCCTCCTCGCCCCCTCCCCCTCTCCGGTTTGAGCGGCGGTTGCCGCTTAGCGCAAAACTTTTGCTTTCCCCCCCCAAAAAAGTGTCAAAGAGAAAGGAGAGAAAGGAGAGGGAGAGGGAAGGAAGAAGGAAAGAGAGGGAAGGGAAAAAAGGAGGAGGAGGGGAGGAGAGGAGTGGAGAGGAAGGGAAGAAGGAAAGGAAAGGGAAAGGGAGGGGAGAGGAGATGAAGAGAAGAGGGAAGGGGGAGGGGAGAAGAGAGGAAGAAGAAGGAAAGAAAGGGAAGGGAAAAAAGGAGGAGGAGGAGGGGAGGAGAGGAGGGGAGAGGAAGGGAAGAAGGAAAGGAAAGGGGAAGGGAGGGGAGAGGAGAGGAAAGGAAAGGAAGAAGGAAAGAGAGGGAAGGAAAGGAGGAGGGGGAGGGGGGGGGGGGGGGGGGGGGGGAGGGGAGGAGGGGAAGGGAGGGGAGAGGAAGGGAAGGGAAGGGAAGGGAAAGGGAAGAGGGAGGAGAGAGGGGAAGGAAAGGAAGAGGAAAGGCCCCGGAGAAGCAGAGAGGGAGAGGGTGAAGAAAGAAGGAGGTGGAGGTGGAAGAGGAGGAGGTGGAGGGGGGGGGAGGGGAAGGGAGAAGGGGGAGGAAGGGGAAGGGAAAGTCGAGGGGAGAGGAGAGGAAAGGAAAGGAAGAAGGAAAGAGAGGGAAGGGAAAAGAGAGGGAGGAGGAGGAAGAGGTGGTGGAGGGGAGGAGGGGAGAGGAAAGGAAAGGAAGAAGGAAAAGGAAGGGGAAGGGGGAGAGAAGGAGAGGAAAGGAAGAAGGAAAGAGAGGGAAGGGAAAAGAGAAAGGAGGAGGAGGTGGAGGGGAGGGGAGAGGAAGAAGGAAAGATAGAAAGGGAAGGGGAAGGGAGGCGAAGGGAAGGGAGGAGAGAGAGAGAGAGAGAGAGAGAGAGACACTGCATTCATTTCCTGAAGCCGGCAACTGTCCGGATCGGGTGAAGGCAACTGATTGTGCCAAAGTTCACAGATTTATCTCGGTCATTCTTGGGATGGTGGGCAAGAGACCTCCTAACCAGCTGACTTTCCCCTCCCCTCCCCTCCCCTCCCCTCCAGCCAGCAAACTTGCAGCGAAAAAGCTTTGAAGAGGTTTCTTCCCAAAAGCCACCTGGCTAAGGTGATTATCCAGGACAACGTTAGCGTTCAGCGGGTGCAGGAGATTAAGGTACGTTTTTTTTTGGAAGCCTCTTTGCAGGAATCCTGGCGGGCGGTCAGACATCCGAGCGCGTCAGGAACACAGTCCTCGACTTCCAACCGTTCGTTTCGTGACCAAAGTTTACAACGGCCGTGTAAAGAGCAAGGAATCACCTTTGCTGATTGGTCTTTTCCAGAAACAGCAAATTGAAGGGCGGAAAAAGAAAGCCGAGAATCTGTTGGATCAGATGAAAAGGAGATTTCTCCAGAACCAGCAGAAAAAGACGTTCCGGTGGATGAAAGAATACAGCTATTATCAGAAAATGTTGGAAGAGATCGACCAGAGGAACCAGATGAGAGAATTAGGCTCAACTTTGATGATGAAGGGAAGCCAGTCCAGTTCTGCAAAACCCTCGGACAAGACAGGCCGACTCAGATAACTGGAATCACGCTGGGGAAATGGCGTTTACCGGGCCATTCCATCAGAATAAAACCGTGTTGAAAAAAAACCAGATCCCGTCCGGTTGGTTTTCTTGACAAAAAAGCTTCAAGCTAAATAGCGCTGTCATCCCAGTATAACAGCCAGTAGATGGCAGTGTTTACAAGTTTGGATCAATAATATCTATCTATCTATCTATCTATCTATCTATCTATCTATCTATCTATCTATACTCTATGCCCGTGATGGCGAACCTATGGCATGCGTGCCACAGGTGGCACGCGGAGACATATCGGTGGGCACGCGAGCTCAGCTCCGGCTTGCATGCGCACGCCGGTCAGCTGATTTTCTGGCCTTCTGGGTCCACCAGTCAGCAAACGGGCCCTTTTCCTGCCTTCGATGGGCGTCGGAAGGTGGGGAGGCCGTTTTCGCCCTCCCCAGGCTCCTAGAAAGGCTCTGGAGCCTGGGGAAAGTGAAAAACGAGTCTACCAGGCCCACTGTGCCATCACGTGCCAAAAGCGGGGAGAGTGCGAGGGGGGGTCACATGTGCATGTGCAGGGGGATGCGGCGCATAGAATTATGGGTGTGGGCACACGCGAATGTGACCCCCCTCGCGCTCCCCCTGCTTTTGGCTTGCGATGGCAAAAAGGTTAGCCATCACTGCTCTATGCTCTTTTGTTCTAAGTAGACTTTCCCGTTTCTTGCTACAGTTAACTAGTTGAGGAGTAAAGCACATGGTGACAGTACCCTTTGCTTGCTCTGCAGTGCTATATGTAAACAGAATTTCTAACAGGGTCATCCAATGTTACGATTTTTTGCTATGGCAGGTAAGTGAATCTGGCTGGGGATGATGTCATTCAAGAGGGCTGGAGCTGCAACCGAGAAGGTGCAGTTCCTGGGACCTCAACGGGGGGCAGTTTAATCAGCAGGACCCAGATGGGGCACACACCCCCTTGAGGGCATGAGACGGGCAGAAAAAGGGGAGATCAGCAGTATCTCAAACTGCCAGGCCCTGTGCTTAGAAGAAGATAACCAGGTCAATCAATGGGGTCAAAAATGGGGTTGCCCATGAAGTGTCCACCCCACTACATTCGGGGCCAGCTGCAGCTTCTGGGTGGTCTCCAAGGGCAGCCCCACAAAGAATCCATTTGAATACAACAGGTAGTCTTTCTTTAGTGACTACAAATGAGGCCAGCCATGTGGTTCTTAAGTGAAGCGGTCACTAAATAATACCGACAACTCCTTAAGCCTCAAAGTTGTAAAGTTTTGCCCAATTTGGAGACCCCCCTCCCCTTCCTCGCTCTAATTGAAAAACTAAGCCGGGTCCTGGGAGTTGCCCAATGCTTGGCTGGGGGTGGGGTTGGACTAGATGACCTCTAAGGTCCCATCCAGCTCAGTTAGTCTGTCATCAAAGAGTCCTCGGAGTTGCCCAATGCTTGGGCTGGTGGGGTTGGACTAGATGACCTCCAAGGTCCCATCCAGCTCAGTTAGTCTGTAATCAAAGAGTCCTCGGAGTTGCCCAATGCTTGGGCTGGGGGTGCGTTGGTTGGACTAGATGACCTCCAAGGTCCCATCCAGCTCAGTTAGTCTGTAATCAAAGAGTCCTCAGAGTTTCCCAATGCTTGGGCTGGGGGGTTGGACTAGATGACCTCCAAGGTCCCATCCAGCTCAGTTGTCTGTAATCAAAGAGTCCTCGGAGTTGCCCAATGCTTGGGCTGGGGTGTGTGTGTGTGGTTGGACTAGATGACCTCTGAGGGTCCCTTCCAACTCTTGTAAAAAGCTTCCTTCGGGAAAGCTGGCACCGTCCAAGCCCGTGGGAGCAAGACTTCAACTCCCGAAATGCCTCGCGCGGGGCCAGAGGGAACTCTGGGAGTTGAAGTCCGGCCGGTCTTCGAAGTGGCAGGGTGGTGGTGCGGGTGGAGCGAGCGCTCCGTCCCTGACGCGAGAGGAGGAGGAGGAGGAGGAGGTTGAGATTGAGGAGGGGGCGTGTCCTTTTCGCCTGGCCCCGCCCCCTCCCCTCCCTGCCCTCCCCCTGCCCAGCCCTGGCGACGACGGCGCCGGGCGAGCCGGGCGGGCGCGGGCGGAGCTGGGCGCTTATGGGGCGGGCGGCGGCGGTGGGTCCGCTGTGCATCGCCGGCAGCCGTGGGCTGGTCTCCCTGCTGGGCGCCGTCCCGTGCCTGGCTTGCAAGCAGCCCCCGCCGCCTGCTCGAGCCCCGCTGGCCGCTGCTGCCATGAGCCTAACCGGGGAGAGCTGCTCCGCTGCCGCCTCCGGCGCCTCCGGTTCGTCGTCCTGCTCGGATACCCACCGCGGCTGGCTCTTCAAGTGGACCAACTACCTGAAGGGCTACCAGCGCCGCTGGTTCGTGCTCAGCAACGGGCTGCTCAGCTACTACAGGTAAGAGAGAGAGAGAGGGACCCATGCGCCCCTGCCGAGGAGCCCATGGGGCACTGCTGACTTGGGGTGTTTGGCGTTTCTTCGCCCATCGTTCCCTCCTCCCAGGGGGCTGTTGTTCGCGGGTCCCATGGTTCCCAGCTTGGAAAGGGCTTGGACTTCCTCTCCCATCGTTCCTTTCTTGGGCGCTGTTCTCAGCTCCCAGGGTTCCCAGGTTCGCAGGCTTGGACTTCAGCTCCCATCGTCCCCTCCCAGGGGCCTGGCCTCGGTTCCCATGGTTCCCCGCTTGGCAAAGGCTTGGATTTCAACTTCCATCATTCCCTCCCCAGGGGGCTGGTCTGGGCTTTGCCAAGGTTTGCAGGTTGGCAAGGGTTGGACTTCCTCTCCCATTGTCCCCTCCCAGGGGCCTGTTCTCGGCTCCCATAGTTCCCTGCTTGACAAAGGCTTGGACTTCC